TTAATTTTTTCATATCAAAACTACTACAGAATGCCAAAAGCTGTGTTACCCCTATACTCCCATAGGATACGATCTCTTTATATTCAGACACAATTAAAAAAAATCTAGTATCGATCGAGAATATCATTTTATGCTGCAAATTGTTACAAGTATGAATGAAACATTGATTATTTAGCACTTACAACGGATGGCTGGAATTTAACGTAATCCAGACGCAGAAACTGTGTAAATCGACAATCGAAGTGTGAAATGTGAATGGAATTAATTTATAAAAATTTTTGCAATCACTCAGTATATTAGATTAATCTACATGCATATAACATCAAACATTAATACTTTTGGGAAACGGAATACTCTAGAAGTCAGATGGAGTGGTAAATGTCGAAATTACAACTGGATAATGGAGGATGCTTTTGCCTCTTGCAATTGTCGATTTATACTGTTATATAATTTAGTGCACGTGACATTAAAACTGGTTTGTCTACACAATCTTGAGATATTTCAGAAAAGAGCAAACTTCAAATTTACAATCCCATAATGTGTTTTTACGCTGTACGTTACTCGTTCGCGAGAAACGGTCTCAGGGATTTGTTGAGTATATGCATGTACCGTATAACCTACAGGGTGTATAAAAAAACCGCAACCTAAGAATTTCCCAAGAAATCGACATTGTTTTAAGGACAAAAGATTTTAGGTGCCTGGGAATTTAAAATAGCACAACTGTCAACATTAGTGCACACACGAGTGCATAAAGCAAAATTTATGCATTTCAGTATTTAATGGCAACAACAGTAATATGATCTATTAGCAATTCGATTTCAATTCCCAGGGGCCTAAAATCTTTTATGCTTAAGAATTGCAAAGTGATTTCTTAGGAAATTCCGAGGTTGCGTTTTTTTTTATACACCCTGTACATGTCCAAACAGTAAACTGCTCAGTGCTGTAGCACAAATGTGCAAGCGACTATGGTGCAAGTTACCAAAAATATTAAGAAATGTTCATATTCAATAATTATAAATCAAACAAAGTTATACAATTTATATTATATTTTTATATACTGTTTAAAAATATTACGTTCTATATGTTACATGATTAAATGCTGCTTGTCAATTATAATATTAAGTAATGTTTGTTCTTTTTATTAAAAATCACTATAAAAATCACTAAAATTAAAAATCAATTATATTATATTATACTATATAGATGTTACGCTCAAGATTATTCTACAATATTATACCTCAAATTCAAATTGTCCAATCAGGAAGCTTAGTTTGTGCCACGTGAGCATGAAATTAATCGCGATATCACGCCTTACGTCATCAATTAGCGAGCCTGCGTTCCTTTTGACAATGTTCCACCCCATGTTCCCCGGGGAACATGGGGTGGAACATTATTCGCGTACACCACGCGGGACAACACGCATGACAACAAGATGGCCGACAAAACATAAATAGTATTAATGAGTGATGAATAATTCAATTTTAAACCTAAAACCCGTGGCTTTTTCAAACCTAAAACCTGGGGCTTTGTCATTAATATTCCAAACGATATGTGATTCGAAAGAAAAGCGACGATACTTGCGTTAATCCGACAATAAGACGTCGTATTCACGAAGGTATGTGTCAAGTTTTTAATTCTCAACTTGGAGGCTTTTAATTTTCGGTATAATATATCATTTATAGACCTTCCGCTCGGGGGATTCGGCGAAATATTACCCTCAGTGATGATATTTCCCTCGGGGCAAAGCCCCTCGGGAAATATCATCACTTCGGGTAATATTTCGCCGAATCCCCCTCGCTCCAGGTCTATAAATGATAATTAATGCATGTTGGAAATTAATTGTGAGCATGGCTCACAGTTTAATGATTTGGATTCTTGCACTTCACTTAGTGTAATTAATATTATAATTTGCCTAGTAGAAGCGTGGCATATAAATATGAGTAATCATGCTTTGAATAGGGATGACGGTGCCTATTTGCCAGAGGGATATATGCATCTCATTGGCAGGTGGCGTCATCCCTTGGATGCGCCACGTCATCCCTTGGATGCCACGTCATCCCTTGGATGCCTATGTGCCTTAAGAAGCCACGATTGCAATTTTAGATCACCCCTGATGAAGACACTAGACTGGAGTGTCGAAACGTTAGGTCTTGATTACAATTCGACTGGGCTTTGTAATCATTTATTTAAACCAGAGTAGCGAGCGAAACATGATTAATATTAGAATGTTAGGGTTTGTAATCCAAGTGAGAAAATATACGAATGCAGTCGTTCTTGGTTAGGTCTTAAAAATGTATATATTCTCACTTGGATTACAAACGCTCACAGTTTACACCACGTATATATTTTTCATGGCCACAGTTAACACTACCTACATATTTCAACTCTGTCACTATTTTATCTGGCAGGTTATGACATGCTTGTTCAATGTTGTCATTGACAATGGTTGCTTGTTCATATGTTAAAATGTACGTGGTGCGGTAGTCCTGAAGCTGCTGACTGTACATGGTAAACTGTCCAGGTAGTAATAGTTTATTTTCAACATACTGAAAAAACTTATAACATGTTTGCTCCCTAGCTGTCCCCAGGCAAAGTTGGATCACACATTCAGTAGGTATAAAGTTACAAAGGAGGGATTGGTTGCATTTGGAAGCAAATGAGGTGGGTGATGCATGTACAAGATATTTACACACTTGCTGTCCTCACTTGCTGTTCTAGACATAAAAAATAGCGCCTATGTTTATTGCAACTCTGACAGTGGATGTTTACTTCGATTAAAAAAATTATATTATTAAAAACATCATCTTATTGTTTAACTGCTGGATGGTAAAATTCACTGACACCAAGTACTAAATCTCTTAATGCAGTAAGTGCATCCATCTAAATTCAGATTTCAGTGGTATTAGCTTGGATCTTGCTTCACTGATTGGCCATATATACTCGGCCAATCGCACAATCAGACCAAGCCTTTTTCACTCAAATAAATCTGGCTCTTGCCTTGGTTTCTATTTAACACTGGGTTCACAATTATCATACTGAAATATATTTTATCTTAACTGTTACATTTTTAAGTTATTAGAATTTACATCCTATATATGTAGGACACTGAATTTGTCCTGGCTGCTTCTGACGACCATGATCATGAACTGCCCTAATTTTGTACTATTTTATTAACAGTGTTGTAACGAGTCGAGTCATTGACTCGGATTCGAGTTGCTATTTTCAGCGACTCGACTCGAGTCCAAAACGTAAACTGAATGACTCGACTCGAGTCAACAGCCCCAAATAACTCGACTCGGACTCGACTTGCTGATTTTGCCGTAAATGACTCGAGTCAACTCAGCTACAACTTGTAGAGAATAAATTCATCAAAAATATTGTGATTGTATTGCTTGGGAAGAACAATGAGCCCTGTGAACAATGAGAACTTCGAAACTTTATCAGAAAATATATGGGATTTGCATAGAATACAGTATATTCCTGACGGGCATGCCTATATTACATTTCTGTTTTTAGAAACAACGCTAGTGCCACAGTTTTTAAAATGGAGTCTCAAAATTTTTTGTACTTATGCTAACTTCATTTTTGGTATTTATGAAGTGCTATATAATTTCAAATTAACTTACAAAGCATGGTTAATTAAAGTCTATTCTTTGTTAATTCCAGTGAACTCTAATAAGACTGGAACGATAACTCGGCCGCCATCTTTGAAGCCAAATTGAAGGCCGCCATTGGAGGTACGGCGGCGAAAATACACCTCTTCGAAAAACTCAGATTTCTGCCTTTCTAGCTATGCTAGAACATAGATAAAAAACTTAAAAACATCCACGATACTTGGACTATTGCACAAATCATGTTTGGAAGCCGTAGAAAAGACTTAACGTTATTTGTTGTATACCTGAAAGTCGTATTTTGTTCGGCACGGAAAATATTTTCTTATTTTCTTGAATACAAAAATGGTTCCTTTAGAGATTTTGCTGTTAGTGGATGTTGAATACTTAGAACTATCCAGAAAACCAAGTTTGAATCTTTGAAATTGAAATCGTCAGACGAAAAACCTAATTTTTTGGCGTATTTTTGCTAAAAAAACAAAATTACGAGGAAATTGAACTCTCCCCAGTTCTTTTTTGAAAGTTACAGCGCGCGAACTTCTCCCGGGCGCCAAATCACAAATCGCAAATCATGGGGGTTTCTACGAAAAAATCGATTTATTCACGTTTTAGAGATGTCAAAAAGCACTCAAAATAAACAGCTATACCTAGACTTTAATACAAAAAGGTATTGGTCCGTAGATTTATGTTTCACAGTATTTTTTTTTAGTTAAAGAGCAAAGTATCAAATAAATCGTATTTGGGTTTTTAAAATTGAAGTCTTTTCATGAAAAACGACTTTTCTTGCTCATTTTCGTCGAAAACATAAAACTTTGACTGAATTTCCCACTCCTCGAAACTCTCCTTAGTCCTTTTAAAAGTGAAATTTCCTTGCACGGTTGGCTTCAGGCAAGTATGGACATGTTTACCTGAGTTATCGTTCAAGTCTTATTAGAGTTCACTGGTTAATTCTGACTCCAGTTGCAAGTTATGCGAGTGTACGTACACTCGATCAGCAGGCATGATGAGACATCTCATGTGGTTGTACTTAATATTGACTAGAACTGTGATATTGGTACAGCCTATGGCTGCCCAGATACTGTTATTACATGACTAAAGTGATTAGCTTAAAACGTAGATTTGATTACTAATTTCAAACTGCAAGCTAAGGTAGCGAACCATTACAAAAAGCGTGAGGTGGACCATTCTCGTCCCCAGAGCCATTTTCACTCGGTCACTCGTTGAAAAGCGACTAAAGCGAGAGATCCGATTGGCATCTCAGAGAAATCCTATTTCCCAGAAGTTGAGCAGTTTTAGCTAGGAAAAGTTATTCTATCAACATATGTCAACGCAAATACTTCGTTTCTTCATAATACTTCACTTTGAAAATTGTTACGGATACTAAAGTATCCCAATTCAAGACCATGCGCTTTAGAAACTACTGCAAGTTTACTTGCACTTCCGGTTCCGTATGTTCCAGGGCCTAGGGAGGACGCGCGCGGCCCAGAGGACTCGACTTAAACCAATGACTCGACTTGACTCGAGTGAAACTGCTGACTCGACTCGACTCGAGTGAAGCCACTGACTCGACTCGATCAGAAACTGAAATGACTCGACTCATGACTCGACCTATAGGTGACTCGTTACAACACTGATTACTGTAATACTATCATGTGAAGAAACCACTTAGTGTCTTCATTTAATAGAACATAACAAACTGTACATAATAAATTGTACTATTTTAAATAATTATGCCTGTCAAACATTAACAATTATTTAAAACACAAAACAACTCATTCATCCAAAAAATATCATATGAAATTATAAATGCATTCCATTGTGATATTAACACAGTTATATACAACTATCAGCATTTAAAACAATAATAAAGCAAACAATACATCAATATTTAACTGAAACAAACTTATACCTTCGTTAACGTCGGCACGATTTCTCCCTTCTAAGTTTAGCAATTCTTTTACCTTTTTTCTTCTCAAACAGCTTTTGAAATTTACAAAATCTTGCAAAAATGAAATATATTTGCAAGAAATCATCAAATCAAGAAATGTTTGCTATTTCGCAGTCGTGATACAGTCGTTATAATGCAAATTTGAAATTGGACCAAACAGTGCATGTTCGCTATTCATGACAGTCCGCTATTTTATGAGATCAGTGAGGATAAACACCCACCCACGCACGGTAACCCACGCCCGCGATCATTGATGATGGTTTAGACTTCGCTAATGCTTTTAAAGTGAAATTTCCTTGCACGGTTGGCTTCAGGCAAGTATGGACATGTTTACCTGAGTTATCGTTCAAGTCTTATTAGAGTTCACAGGTTAATTCCGACTCCAGTTGCAAGTTATGCGAGTGTACGTACACTCGATCAGCAGGCATGATGATATATAATTTCGCTTACCTCAAAATTTGCTCTATCTTTATGATATTGAGCACTCTTTGGGTTTCGTATTCATAAACCTACTCGTATATATATATATATATATATATATATATATATATATATATATATATATATATATATATATATATATATATATATATATATATATATATATATATATATATATATATTAAAGCACGAGTAGGAGTGTTTTATCACATATAAAACACGACGCGTAGCGGAGTGTTTTATATGTGATAAAACACGACTACGAGTACTTTAAATGGCTTAAAAAACGACCCATCTTCTGATGAGTACATTAGCGAAGTAATTTCTAAAATAAACTTTGTTTAAACCGAGAAAATCAAAGCTAAAGTTTAGGTAAATTAACATGATTTGTTATCACATATAAAACCACCACACGCTTATGATTTTTCTTTGTGTTTTCCTCCTGAATTATTAATGAGTTTTTTAAATATATATTATATATATATATATATATATATATATATATATATATATATATATATATATATATATATATATATATATATATATATATATATATAATATATACCCACGCCATATATATGGGCTTGAAATCAAGTCGGGAAGCGCGGGAAGTGTATTACATATATACAAATTAGTACCAAATACAAATATGTAACTTTCATGCGCATATGTTCATGGCTCTTCCAGATTATGATGACCTGTTTATTGTATACTTGCGCCTTTACAAGGGTCAGAATTTATTAT